ATTCTACCAGAGGTACAATGAGGAGCTGGTACCATTCCTTCAGAAACTATTCCAAACAATAAAAAAGAGGGAATCCTCCCTAACTCATTTTATGAGGCCAGATACCAAAAGCTGGCAGAGACACAATGAGAAAAGAAAATTTTAGACCAATATCCCTGATGAACATCAATGCAAAAATCCTCAATAAAGTACTGGCAAATGAATCCGGCAGCACATCAAAAAGCTTACAATGGGTTCAGAACCATGAAATCTGTAGGTCTAACCATGTGTCTTATTATTCAGAAGTAAGCAGTCTGGAGGAATCATGGCTTAAAGTTTAAAGGCTCACTAAGACACCTTCCAACCTAGCAATAGTGAGTTTAAACACTGACTTTCAGATCATGTCACTAAACCAAGATTCAGCAAACTACAAACTGCATGGCAAGCATGGTCTAAAATCTATTTTTGTAAATAAAAGTATATTGGAACACAGCCATGTCCGTTTATTTGCATATTATCTATGGCTACTTTACCACTAAAAGGGTAGAGTTCTGTAGCTCCAACAGACATGGTATGGTCCATGAAGTTCAAAATACCTAGTATCAGTATCATGCTCTTTACAGAAAAAAAAAAATATTTATTTCTGCATTAATTCAGTGACTGTTACATGATTCTATGTCCTCAATAACTAGAATAAATTAGAATAAATGGGTATAGGAACCATGGGTGTCCTTTGACACTCTTGGCTACCATAAATGTCAATTGAGGTAGTTATAAGACTAGGAATTAGGGGATTAAACTTCTCTGGGATGAACATCTGGGTCACCAGGCAAGCAACCCAGAACAGACAAGGGGCTGTCCAAGGATAAGGAAAATCTTGAAAGGGTCATAGAAGAGAAAGGTGATGAATATCAACTATGGCTCCAAGATCAGCTGTTAAGACATGAGCTTACGGGGGCTAGTGTCCTAAACCTGGGGGGTGGGTACAGTCCCTGGGTTTGCTAATCCTAATTAAGTATTTTGAGGAGATTGCTAGGGCTACCACCTTGAAGAATGAAAGAAATGCATGTTGTTCTGGTATCACAGAGTGAGATGCACATAGCATAAGATAGTGAGGGCCTAGAAAGCAGATTTGCATATACTTCCTCAGATTTCCTGAGGCCCACCTGCCCCCCAGGTATAGGACACTAGCCCCTATAAACTCATGTGCTAACACTGCTGACTGTTTCATCCTTCCCAGGCAGAACACTGGGCTTTAGCATGTCCTTTGACATTCCTGCCACTGTATCCCCAACAGCCAGGTCCAGTCCAGCTGGACCCACAGATGCTTTGACTCTCCCTGCCTCTTCTGATTTTAGATGAAAGACCTCACCATGAGACACGGGCCTGGCTTTGTCAGCGGCTACTTAGAGAGGTTAGGCAATACCATCTGGAAGTACAGATGAGCTAACACCCTACGGACCAGTAAAAGACAGAAGATGGGAAGTTGCTGAGAGATAAACACCCCTTTCTCCTTGTCTGGACTGACAGCTCCGAGGTGCAGTGCTGTCACTTAGCTTGTCTGAAGCTGTCCCTTGTGCCAATCATGCAGCTGTGTTTCCTATAAAACTGGCCAGCTCCGTAACCTATCTCCTTGTATTTTCTCTCCCTCCTTTGGAGTTCTCACTTTCCCTTTCCCTTGTTTCCCTGGGATTGCACCTCCCAATAAAGCATTAACATGCTATATTTAGCTCAATTTTTGTTTTCTAGTAGAAAAATAATTAAAACAGCCTGCTTGAATATTAATCTTGAGTGAGGCTTAGCCAAAGAGAATAATCAGAGAGGTTATTCAACATGTTTCTCCTAGAAGGCATCCAAGTATTCTTCATTTCAAATTACTGAGGCTTGATTAAGCAGAAATATAAGTGAAATTTGAGATCAGACATTCCTGATTTCAACACTTGGGTCTGCCATTTCTTAGCCTGACCAAGTCATTTATCGTCTCTGAATGTCAGGTTTTTTTATTTAAAAATTGGGAAAAAATCATATCTGTTTAATGGGGTAATTTTTCAAAAGTAGCAAGACAGCATGTAAAGAACCAGTATATCATTTAGCACGTGATATATACTCAGTGGGGCCCCAACTCCCAGGTATCGTGAAAGCTGTGGATATCCTAACATTAGAATCTCTAGCTTCCTTCAGTTTAAGTTCTAGACAGGGGAACCATACATTAGAGCGGACACGTGGTGTCTGCCAGGGACAATACATTTTAGGAGTGACATCCACATGGCAAGGGATTGACATTTCTGGCACCCAGGTGGGCCATTCCCTCCCAAATGCCTGATACCTCTTAGAGACCTTATTTCATTCATCAGGACTGTCTTGCTGGGGGACATCTCCCGTGTGCTGCATCTACCTCTGCTCTCCTTTTGGCAGAAGACAAATGAGTAAATATAATTCATAACCACTTCTAGCAGTACAGAAAAAAGTAGTTAGGTATTTAATTTGGCAATCCTGCCCAATGAACTTCTCCTAAATCTTAGGATCAAACTCTATGAATAAATTGTCATTTCCAACCTTCTGTGTAGGATATTCTTTTCCATTGAATCTAGGAATATATCTACATAAATATGAATATCAACATGCAAATTAATGGAAATGAGGCCCAAATGGGGCTAAATATAGGGTTGTAAAAGAAAATTAACTTGTATATGTGAGCATATAAATGCTCTATATGAAAAAGGCATTTAGTTATTGTTCTCTACATTCATGAAATCTACTCAGAAGAAAATTACCTACAAGAGAGATCTTAATTAAACATGAAGTAGAACTACTTGATTTTCTCAGAATGGGGAGATAAATGAAAATCTACAATGGGGTTCTAAGGAAGAGTATGACATCTCTGTCCAGTCCATTTTTGCCAGAACATAGAAAATGTCTGGACATCAATATGTCTGGAGGCATGAAGATAGAAAAGATGGCTTCAATTCTCAAGATGTCAAGGCAGGAAAAGAGCTGAGTACTTATGAATTCTAAGCCTTCCCTCTACCCTATTTTATGTGTAAGAAAATAAGGTCCAGAGAAGTTGAGTAGGTATCCTGCAGGGACAGAGCTAGTCAATCTAAGTAGGAAAAGAACTGTAGTGAAACTCACTTGGGGCAGCTGAAAGGTTACTAAAGGTCTGTGAGCAAGGATCATCGCAGGCAAAAGGCACAAAGGGTTTCCAGCCAAAGACATCTCCACCCTTTACCTCTCAGGACTCCCACTGCTCCCATGCTGATGGAATGTTTTGGTAAAAGATAAAACCTGGGGAAAAGCAAGGAAAGAGATGTAGATGGGAGCACAAGGAAAAAAAGTGAGTGAGAACTCTGTGGGCCAGAGAGGCCCCCTGACAACTCCACCCTAGACTGGCCTCATCAGAGAGGTGTGATCACCACAGTGATCTTGTGGAGCTTTCACTCCAGTCTGGGCTAATTCTAGCCCTGTGGGCATCACCCCATCCAATATGAACCCGGGTCCCAGCGCTCGCCTTGCCAGGACACTGCTTCTGCTGCATCACACCTAGAACCACCATAACCCATGAGGGGAAGGTCAGAGAAATGCTCAGAGTGGATCTGCACAAAGATTTGCCTTATCTCCCCTCTGAGGTGGGGAGTTATTTCTGGAGAGAGGGCAAGGAGCTGTGTCTGACTTATCTAAGTAAGCCCCTCAGTAAGGCTTAATATAGAGCCTTGTTCATGCTGGACTCTTAAACAAACACCCCCACACATCTTATAACTAACTCATTCAGCCTTTGCTATGCTTCTTTGGCATGACCAACAAATCTGAAGCAGCCTCTTTCAGCAGTAAACACTCAAGGTGCCTTACTAGACTTCCTGCCACCAGCGATCTGGGGTAATTCCCTGTGGCCCCATTACAGTGGGAAGAGCCATTTCACTTCCCAGCTGCTTTCTTTGTTGTTTGTCTCTACCCACCAATCAGCTAGAAATTTTCAATAGCCTCCGAACTCCCTCACTTTCCCTTTTAAGAAGCAAAGCATAGCTAAACTCATCTGGACCTCAGATGGGGTCTGCCTTTTCTAAGATGAAAAAGTCAATCATTTAAAGAAGTGAAACAAAAGATCCAGGCAGAGAATGAGTGAGGATGTGAAGAACACATCCACGGTGAACGGCAATAAACAAGCTTAACAGAGACCTTGCCTGTCCCTTCTGTGTGTCAAGGAGAAAGTGCTCCAGTTTATACATATTCCGGATGGACACAAAAGAGTGAGACAAGTTTATTAGAAAGATGCTAGAGAGGGGAAGGGAGGTAACGCAGGCCGAGAAGAGGGAGTCGCAGGAGCATGTTGGTGTGCAGGACGGGCCCTGTTTGGAGAGTCCCGCACAACCTCCTGATAGAGTTTGCCTGGATTACATCTTTCAAAGGACTTCTCAGAATGGTGGTATCTGAGCCAGGTGGCCAAAGAGAGATGGTTGGGTCACAGAGGGTCCTGCATCCTTCCCCCTTTCACTTACGAGGAACCAGGAACAAAAGAGCACCTTTGCTGGACTTGGCCCAAGGAAACAAGCTCTGCCTAGGTCCACTTACTTTCCACTGGGTACAAGAGGGAGGAAGAGCAGAAAAGAGAAAAATATGGGCTCTTGCCCTTACAACAGAGAATCCCTGCCCCTGGTCCAAGATTATCCAATGTTTGTCTTGGCTTCTAACTAATTGGATATTTCCTCTTCCCTTGCTGAGTATGGTTTGCCCAGAAGTGGTGGGTAGAGCCCTGGCAGGAGCAGATGGCTGACAGCCCACCTCCACCATCCTTGGTATCCAATATGAACATTTGTCTACATAGAAATAATAAAGCAAAATGATAGAAATAATTGTGAACATTTACTAAAGCAGCATTGAGGCATGCATTGAAAAGTATCTAGCATATAATACCTACTTCACATGCATTTTAGTAATCACAAAACCCCATGAGGTCTGCATTATTAACATCATCTCTGTTTCATGGATAAGGAAATTGACACATAGCTCTGTGATCTGTGATGCAGAGAAATACAGAATGTTCTGGAAGACCAAGAAGGTGGAGAAGGAGGAGGCTCATACAATCTAATTTGACAGGAACAGGTAAATATGATATAAACAATGATCTTGCAGTCAACCTTGACTCCTCTCTCTCTCATTTTCCATTTTCAATTTATGAGAAAATCCTTTCAGCTCTACCTTCAACGTATTTCTATGTTCTGACCACCGTTCACTACTTTCACTGTTATTGCTCTGGTCCAAGTCACCATCCTCTCTCTCTAGATTTGCAGTAGCCTCCTAATTGGTCTCTCTGCTTCCACTCTTGCTCCTCTTTAAACTCTTCTCAACACAGCAGGCAGATCCAGCCTGTGAAAATCTAAGGCAGTTCAGACCCTTCTGCGCAGATCCCTCCAATGGCTTCCTGTCTCACTCACAGTAAAATCAAAGACCTTAAAATGACCGAAAGTTCTGTGCAAAATCTAACCTCCATATTTCTATTTTCTATTTTTCTGTCCTTTCCTTGCTGTTCTTCAGATACACTGGCCTCCTCATCCCATGAAGAGACCAGACACACCCCTCCCTCGGAGCCCTTGCATGGCTTGTTCCCTTTCCCAGGAATGTTCCACCCACAAACACTCCTAAGCTTTGCTGCCTTCCAGTCTTTTCCAGAAAGTCATCTACCAGTGAGGCTCTCTCTGGGACATGCTGTTTAAATTTCCTTGCTAATTTTTCTCCTTAGCACCAATGACAACTATTTACCATATTTCATCATTTCTAAGATTTTTTTTTCATATACTCACATTTTTGAAATCAAGATGTATCTTGGAGTTGATGATGTGTCCTGACTTGGGTTCTCCTAAGGGCAGGCTTGGGTCTGGAGCACTAAATACCAACCCTCATATTCCAGTCATTAACCCCACCACGCTTTGGGGCTATGTGTTTGCTCTGGGCTGGACAGCCAAGCAGATCAAAAGACACCATGGTGTATACAGGAGGTAGAACACAGCAGCACTGAAACCATAAGCATCAACTTTAGCTGGCACATATTTGTTTGTTTATCATTAAATTTCTTTCTCAGTGGCTCAAGAAATAGTAGCACATCTTACAATCACCAATATCTTTGACTTGATGAAAGATGAAAATGTTCTCACTTACTGTCTGTCTCTGCCCCTAGAAACTAGTCTTCATGACAGCACATAGTTCTCGAAAATGAATAAAGGAAGAGGAAACTACGCCTTCCAGATATGCCTGGTACACAGTAGGACTTCAGTTCATCATTGTTGAATGAATGAAGGGAGTGAAGAAATACTAAATGCAGATGCAGGAAAATAAACTATCATGAGGTTCTTCCCTTGAAGTTATAACCACAGGCAAGTTTAAAATCATTTTTTCTCAGGATTGTCCAGTGGCTTTGTGGCCAGAGCTGATTTTCATGATGTGATTAGTGACACTGGTCTCCAGAAAAGTTGTAACACTCTTTACCCTATGTCTTCCCAAGAAGGAGTTTGGAATATAATCAAAGCCAAGGATGCCACTATGGTACCATGCTGTGGAGTATAGGTGGCTGGCAAGATTTCTGGGGTAGGAGTGGAGGAAAGGCTTTTGGAGTAAGGAGCAAGAGTCAGATGAAGGCACCTGCATCTCTGTGGTGTATTCTTGCCTCAGAAAGTCTTATGTTCCTTTGAGATGCATTTTTCTTTCTTCTTCCACACTGGGCACTACTGCAGCAGGAAGAGCCAGTAGGAGAAGGAGGCCCACTCACCCCTGAAAGGCTGAGCAAGAAAAAAAAAAAGCCTGGGATAGTAGGCAGCCCCTCAGTTGGCTTATTTGATCTTTGGTGTCATCTGTGGTCTAAGAAAGAAATGACCCTTTCCTTGGGGAGCTGGGTTCGGTCACACATGAGTTATAGCTATTTCTTCTGACCCAACCCAGCTTTCCAGCACTGGGATTCCCTACAGAGATTACCCACCAAAGCCAAATAGTCATAAATGATTATTTTCTTTTCTTCAGAAAGCCCCCTGCAGGTACTTTGCATATGATATTTTACATAAGTTGACAGCTGCATGGAGAGAAGGCAGTTTGACATTGTTTGAATATATTTTTCTCTCATTCCAAGGAAACTCTACAAACTCAATATTTATAAAGGAGTAGTAATGTGATTGTGTGTCTAAAGAGTTCCTACCATCTCGATTTCTGTATCTCCAAAATGTATTATGGTGCCACACAAATAATTGATACTCAAAAAATTTGCAAGAGAAGGTAAAGTTTCATAATAAGTAAGCCAACACTCACTGAGAGTTTGCCTTAAAGTTTTTTCTCTATCACTTTAAATAAAAACATTAATAAGCGGAACATGGTTCTGTTTAATAGTGGGCAAGTCACTTCTCCTTCTAGACTTCTGTTCTCCCATCTATAAGACTGAAGCATGAGCCATATGATCCTTAATACTCTTCTACCTCTAATGTTTAATAGATCAATGTGATTCAATTTGCCAAATTTCCAGTCACTGTTTGTTTTCTCCAGTAACAAACTCAATGGGCCAATGCCCTATTATGTACAATGCACTCAGAGCTCTCAGTATATACCCATGTGTGAGAAGAAGTGTTCTGGAAAAGAGAAAACTTTCCAAAAGTCCCCATTTGTCTTTGGCTAGGCATTTTTACTCCCCAAAGAATTCTTGTGTCTTAGAAATACCTAAATGAAACATTGCAATATTCTTTAGTCTTTTAGCTTGCAGAGGCAAGAAGAATTTCCTTCTTCCTCTGAAGTTTCCAGTCTGCATCTGCTGAAATAAGTGGACAATAGACAGAGTAACAGGAAAAAAAGTACATAATGTATTAATGTATACATAGACAAAGGAGTCTTGCAAATATGAGATTCAAGGAAGAGCCAGAGGACTAAGGTTTCTATGCCATCCTGGGATTACATAAAGAATGGGGGTTCAAGGCTTCTCAGGGGAAGTGACATCACAGGCTATGAAAGGCTCATGGGAGGAAAGCGTGGTGAGCTAAGGCTGTCTTGTTAGGAAGATAAGAATCTCTCAAGTAGCTGCTCTCAGAGACAATAGATGGCACCTGGTGATAAAAAGTTTCCCTGTCAGACCTCTAAAAACATCATACTTTCAGTCACCTTTTCCTATGAGTTAAGTTCTTTCTAGATCTGGATAAAACAGATAGGGGGCTTCACAGAGAGCCTGTTTTCATTGCTGTTCGCATCACTGTTTATTTCACTAAGGTAGATTTGCTCTACAAACACAAATCTCTCCCACAAAGTACAGCTTTTCAGAGCTATTTCTGTGTCTGCAGCCCCTCTGAATCCATATAAAAATATGCCAAGGAAGATTATTTGGGGGTGCCATGTTTTGGTTTCATTCAAGCTCTTTGGCCAATTACATAAACACAAACAGCTTTAAGCTCTTTGGTCTATTACCCAACCGCCAACCAATAGCTTTACTCAGTGTGCTGATTGGGGATGTCTATACAGCAAAGAGAAAGTGGATGAGCTGTCCTGCAGCAAACTCACTATTGCTTTTGTCTGTCCATGTTCCCTCTGATGCAAACTTCTCCTATTTCTGGATGTCCCTTCTACAACTCCCCTGTACCCACAGCATGCAACCACAACTCTTCAACTTGCATGAAAGGCCCCTAGTCCTCTGGCCTAAACTTAATCACCCTGACTTGACTTTACTTCCTCCACACACTTAATGCTTCAGCCAAACTCCCTTACTGAAAACAAACACAAAAAGAATGATTCATTCTGCAATTGACTGGATATAAGAGGTTAAGGAGATGGGAGATTCAGAACTGACTCCTAGAGATGAAGCTAAATGAAGTCTGTAATCACTATTAATGCAGCACTACTCATGTACAAGGAAGTTAAATGGAGAGAATGACACCTCACCCCTGGAAGTACAAGATAAGATGTGACATATCGTAAACTAAGTAGTTGCCTCATGTGGAACATATTGAAATAACAATATTATCTAAAATGTTTTCCATGTCAACCACATACCAGGCTCTCAGCTGTCATATTCACATACTTTCTTTGGTATATATTTATCATGGTGCACTATATGATATTTTGAAATGAGTGCAGAGTGTAGCATGGTTAGATCAAGGTAATTAAATGCATTACCACACATACTTTTTTTGTGATAAGAACACTTTTACCTACTGTTTTAGCAATTTTCAATAATATAACATATTGTTACTAGAGTCACCATGTTGTACAATAGGTCTCTTGAACTTATTCCTACTATCTAACTGGAATTTTGTACCCTTTATCTTAGCTGATTTGATCTCAAAACCCTCCAGATGTAGACACTACAATTCTTATTTTACGAACAGACTTCTAAGGCTCAGACAAGGGCAAGGCTGTACGACTTATGAAGCAAAAGATCTGGGATACAAACCTAGGTATAACTTCAATGATCTTGCTCTTTTCCCCTTATGTCATATTGCCTAAAAACAGGAATTTAAGTAGGGTCTACATGAAACAGAATAGTATATATATATACATATATCCAGAACAATGGTGCATACATACAACAGACATACTTTAAATACAGAGACTTAAAGTACCACTGCTAGTGTCTGAAAAGTTAACACCATATTTGATGGTTGATTAGGTCTAATCAACAGATTAATTTTGTTTGGTTTTGCTTTTGTTATAACCTAACAGCTGTAACTTCATTGACTGCATATGTATCTCTTTGGAATGCTTTTGTCTGACAGTAATGGAGAACCCAACTTAAATGGCTCTGAGCAATAAGGAAGATAGTAAATTATCTCATGGAATCATAAGGCCATAGCTTTTGTTCTGGGGCTTAACTGGAGCTCTTTCTAATCTTCCTGGTCAGCTACACTCAGAACCTTGACCCCTTTTCTTTCATCCTTTGTTATCGCTTTAGGGTCACAGGAGAGCTTCTACAACTCCACATTCATGTCCTTTCAGTGATGTCCCCTCAGGATGAAGGAAAGATGTGCTAAATGCTTTCTCTCAATAGGCTCTGTCTTTTTATTTGGAAATGAAGCTTCTTGTGGTTCTCCCTCCTATGTCTCACTGGACAGAATTAGGTTATGTAGTAAACCAAACACTAGAAAAGAATATGAGATTCCCATAGCAGCTTTAGGTCAAAGAAAGTCCATTTTTTTAGGGGATGAGGTGGGGCTTTCTCTCATAAAAACAATCACGCAAATGCCTACCAGTCAGGTTGAGATTAGAACTTGGGTCCCCTAATTTTCTGTCAAGAATGACTAGAGAATTAGCTCCTGCAATCTAAGCCTGACCATGAAGAACCACCAGCAAATCAAACATTCAACTTTGAAGGCTGCTTTCATTATTCAGTAAAGTATATTTTGATGCCCATGTTTTAATGCACAAATAAGAGTGGAATGTTAGTCCCACCATGTTTCCCAAAGCCAAACACGATCAACAGATCTCTCTTCAGATGAAGAGGACAACAGTTATTTGGAACATAGCTCTTGGCCTGAATGCCATTTCAGGCCGGCCTCAGATGGCCCCAACCACAAGCCACTCTATCCAAATGAATCCACACTGGGTATCAACACAAGAACAGCTGATGTGGAGTGAAGAGCCTGCGTCTGGAACTGGGATTGGATTCAATGCCAGGCTGTGGCACTTACACTCTCTGTGAACCTCAGCTGTTCTGTATGGAGACAGGGAAACCCTTCAGGGCAGGGACTGTGTGATGATTACCCCTCCAACTTCAGTTCATACCAAATGGCTAGCAAACCACTGAGACTCAATAAATTCACACACTCGTTCATTCATTCATCAAGGCCAAGTCCTATCTAGGTGGTGGAGACACAATAATGAATAAAACAGATACACCTCATATTCTCACAGCCTTAGTTTAGCTAACAGGTGATACAGACAAGGAAATAAGCAGGTACAGAAGGGTATGATAGGTGTCTCTATGGGAGGGAGGGGTGTCTTGTGGGAACACATTGGAGACAGGTTAGAAGGCCATGGGATGCTCACTTATGAGATGATGTATAAGCTGGACTTTGAAGTACAAATAGAAATTATCCACATGAGGAGGGAAGAGAGAGGAAAAGCACCCCAGGGGGATGAAACAAAGACTTGGAAGCAAGAGACAACTATATGTCTTTGAGGAAGTAAGAGTAATTTCAATTGACTGGACTGTAAAGTACACATGAGTTTGCAGTTGGCAGAAGTGTGGGCTGGTGATTGGTGTTAGGGGTAGTGAGAGTAACAAGAGATGGAGCTGAAGAAGTAGACAAAAGTCAGATCTTAAGTCCTGAAAAAAAAATTTGTTCAATATCCCAAACGCATGAAAGGGCTTTAAGCAGATGAATAAAATTATCATATTTG